TGTCATCCTCAGACCAGGCAGGGTCCCTGGAGGGCAGGGGGGGGCTGAGGGGGCCGGCCCCCGCCCAGCCCCGTCGTCCGTGGACTCAGAGTCGTCGCCTGTCAGGTTCAGCAGCGAGACGTTGGTGCAAGCTGAGGAGCGCTTCAGGTTCAGGTGGCCGGGGGGGGGCCTCGCTGGCTGGGGGGGGGCTCCACCCTGCGGAGTGGGGGGCAGGGGTCAGCCACACAGGCCCCCCAGCCCCGTTCTCCTCCCCCCCCCGGCCCAGGCAGTGCCACCCCCACCCCGGCCCAGCCAGCCCCAGCACCCCCCAGGCCTGACCCATGGAAGGACACGGCTTTCTTCTTCTTGGGGTAGGCCTTGGGGCCGGCTTTGCCCAGCAGGTCCCGGGTGCTCTGGGTTCGGGTCTCCGCCCCGGAGGGGGGGTCTCCGGCTTCGTTGATTTCCTTCGACTGCCAGATGGTTTTCACCACCACGTTGGCCATGGTCCGAACCGGGCCTGGCCCCCGGTGGCTCCTCTGGCGAGGGCCGGGTCCTCGTGCCAAGGGCGGGCGGCTGGTGCCAGGGGAGTTCACTAGAGCAAGGGGCTGGACCTCGGGGGGGGCACTGGTGCCAGCCCCTTGTGCGAAGGGCTCTCGCCACGACTCCGCCCGGCTGCTCCCTGTGACCTCACAAGTGCCACGTGACATCACACCCACCCCGGCAGAATTCTATGAGGTCACCGGGGCTCTTCAAGGGGAAAGGGCTGGCGGGTGTGTCATTGCGCCCATACTGCTGCGAGGGAAGAGCTGCTTCCAAAGCTGTGGGAGGGGTGGGGGACAGTTGCTGCCGAACTACCTGATCCCGCAGTTGGTAGGGGTGGGGCTAAGGTCAGAGGGGAAATAGAACCCAGGAGTCCCGGCTCCCAGCACCCCCCTCCCGCTCTAACCACTAGACCCCACTCCCCTCCCAGAGCCAGGGAGCGAACCTAGGAGTCCGGTGTGTCTGCACCCAGAGGCTGGGCTTGCGGTTAGGGCTCCTGGCTGGGCCTGGGCTGATCTGAGTTTGTGTCCCCGCTAGCTGTGCCTCAGTTTCCCCGTTTGTGGGACGCAGCGTTGTGCTCCCGAGGGATGCTGGGGGAGGCCAGGGAGGGCACTGGCTTTGGAATAGTATTTGGAAGGCCCGGAGCCAGACACCGCCCTCCCCCCGGGGTGTCACTCTTTCTCCAGGGTCAGCCCCACGGCTTCACCCGCCCTTTGGGCGGGACGCCTGGGCCTGCAGCCCCCCATGAGCAATGCACAGCGAGTCCCCCTGAGCCAGACCCGAGGAAGCCTGGCACCATCGCGGGGAGCAACGCGCCCCTCCACCAGCTGCCATCTGGGTGGGTTTATCAGCTGACTGGACCCAGCCTTGGTCAGCCCAGAGAACAGACAATAACAGACCAGAACCCCACGCCCTGGCCCAGGTCAGGTGCTAGCCCCTCACTGTCCCTGGGCCTGGGTGCCCCAGCTTGGCCAGCCGGGTGAGAGGTGCCAGGTGTCACAGTCCCGGTGACTGGGGTTTTCTCATTGACACGGGGCCCAAGCCCCAGCCAGCCAGGAGCTGTCCAGCACCGGGCCTCTGCGCAGAGCCACCTACCCCCAGGTAACCCGGCAGCACACGGGGGGAAACTGAGGCACGCACAGGCTTCCTGGAAGAGATGACACCAATGCCCACTTGAGCGCATGGCTGCTCAGGGTGGGGCAGAGAGGGCGATGAGGGGAGGGGGAAGGGCTGGCGGAAGCCCGGGGGCAGCGATTTGGCAACCAGAGGGCGGCACCTTCCGGCCCAGCGGCCGCAGCAGAGCCACGGGGACGAGAAAAGGGGAAGCAAAATTAGGAGACCCGAACGGTGGAGAGGGGTGGGCCCCACTAGCCCTGAATAGGTGGGGCCAGAACCCAGGCATCCGGGCTCCCTGCCACCCTCCTAACCACTAGCTCCCCCTCCCCTGCCAGAGAACCCAGGAGTCCGGGCTCCCAGCCCAACCCCGCCCCCCACTAGCCCCCCATCCCCTGCCAGAGAACCCAGGAGTCCGGGCTCCCAGCCCAACCCCGTCCCCCACTAGCCCCCCATCCCCTGCCAGAGAACCCAGGAGTCCGGGCTCCCAGCCCAACCCCGCCCCCCACTAGCCTCCCCCTCCCCGGCCAGAGAACCCAGGAGTCCGGGCTCCCAGCCCCAACCCCGCCCCCACTAACCTCCCCCTCCCCGGCCAGAGAACCCAGGAGTCCGGGCTCCCAGCCCAACCCCGCCCCCCACTAGACTCCGCCCCCTCCCAGCTGGCTCACTAGCCCCTCCTCCCCGGAACTGCAGGCCCCATCCCACCAATCCCCTTCCGCCGTCTGGTTGTGGCCCCGCCCCCTCCCAGTCTATCAGCGCGCGGGACCGCAGGCTCAGCCAATGCGGGAAGGGAAGGGGCGGGGTTGTACTTTGATCGACAGGGGGAGCTGATCAATGAGTGCGGCAGGTGGGCGGGACATAGCGGTGAGCGACAGGGGCGGTGCTACGGAGCAGGACGTTGGGGCGGCCTCGGCAGCGTTTAGCAAGGACAACGGGCACTGGGAGGTGGGCGCGAAGGGGCCGGCCAATGGGCGCGGTGCATGGGCGTGGCCGGCCATGACCGATACCGGATCTGTCCAATGGGCGCTGACAGCTGGGAGGGGCTGGCTCTGAGTGGTTGCCGGCAGGCCAATGGGCGCGGGGCGTGGGCGGATCTCGTCCTGAGGGATAGTGGGTCTGTCCAATGGGCGCGGTGCGAGGGCGGGACTCGTCCTGAGGGATAGCGTGTCAGTCCAATGGGCGCGGTGCGTGGGCGGGGCTGGTTCCGAGGGTTCGCGGGTCTGTCCAATGGCCGCGGTGCATGGGCGTGGCTGGTTCCGAGTGATAGCGGCTCTGTCCAATAGGCGTGGGCCCAGCTCTAAGCGGCGGGCGCTCCGACCAATGGCGAGCGGGGGTGTGGGCGGGGTCTGCCGTGAGCGGCGGGCGCGGCGGCCAATGGGGGCGGTGCGGGGGCGGGCGGCGCTGGGCCGGGCCCGGAGCTGCCGGAGGAGCCGTCGCGGAGGGAAGCGGGTCCCGGAGCCGCCGCGATGCCGGCCGTGTCCAAGGGGGACGGGATGCGGGGCCTGGCGGTCTTCATCTCCGACATCCGCAACTGTGAGCGGGGGGGGGTTGGGGTTGCCATGGGGGGACAGCGGGGGGAGGGGGACAGCGGGGGAGGGGGTGTTGGGGATGCCGAGGGGAGGGGTGGGGGGA